GGGGCTGCCGCCATGGCAGCGCGGGGCGGGGCGGGGCGACGGCGCGGCGCAGGGGACAAAACTCTCGAACGCAAACCCGGCGGAGGTGGTGGGGCTCGGACGGGACCGGAACCGGAACCGGAAGTGGCGGAGCGCGTGGGGGCTGCGGGCGCTGACACTGAGCGTCCGTAGGCCTCGGACGGCCTGGGCCTGCTCGGCAGCGTTAGGGCCGCGCAGCCACGTTTCCTCCGCGTGCCCCCGTCTGCTCATGCAACAGACAAGCCCCTGGCGCCGCTGTAGCCCTGAGGCCGAGGCCACGGCCGCGGCCCAAGCGAGGTCTCTGCCAGCCGCACCCTCAGGACGGCCTTAGTGTAGCGGTTAAAACAGGCGCCGGGGTCTCGGTGTGTCTCAGGTTGAGTTCCGGTTCCGTAACTTCCTAGCCCTGTGACCCTGGGCAAGTTATTTAACAAATTGGGGATAATAATGGCGCCTAACTCAATGGTTGTGAGGACCCAGGTAACATTACTGTGCAAAGTGCTTACACAGTGTCTGGCACACAGTATTATTTTTATTAGTGTAAGTATGTTTAGGAGGGGAGGAATCTGCTCTCATAGGCTTCCAAGTACCATTCAAGAGAGGAAATCAGGAATTCCAAACCAAATGGAATTACTATGAAGAATGTGGAGGCTTCTAAGCTGTGTAACTTCCCACGTTTGATAGTGATAGTCCTAGCTTTCTCTTACAGTAGGACCTGCATCTGTTTCCAGGACAGAAAAAGAGGGGAAGCCAGAGAGACTGAATTCTAATACTCAACTTTGGGGGTAAAGAAAAGATTTTTCTTCTTGTGGGCATTAAAAGCTTACTTGAATTATCTTATTTAACCCTCACACCCCTCAGACAGTTTTATTAGCCTTATTTTACAGATGAGAAAACAAGCCTGGAGAAGTTAAGGAAGTTGCCCAACTTCACAGACAGAACATGACTGGCCCTTGGGAGCAGAAATTAGTAAAGTGGGCTGCAAGAGGTAATCCAACATTTCTGAAACAAAATATTAGGTATTTTCTTTTTACCTCATGTATGTGTTATATTTTTGTCACTGTTTTACAGTATATTAGCCAAGAAGGTATTGTTACATTTTACAAATACACTTATCTTGTGATACATGTTCAAAAATAGGTTTGGAGATCACTGCACTGGAACATGTGCTGCTAACCACTGGGCTATACTAAGGGTCATAGCACAGGCCCAGAAAGGAAAGCAGGCTTGTGGGAAGGGGACACTGGACCAACACAGGGCTTCACTAGCCGGAGGGCCCCATACGCAACCCTGCCTTGGCTGCTAATTCACTTTGGTGTACCTCAAGCTGAACTCCACAACCACCACCCTGGTGCCAGCAGACATTTGGAAAGTCTCCCATTTCTGCGCCAGTGAACATTCGGAGTACAGTCCTCTCAGCCCCATCAGCCCATTTCTGTCTTCAGTGCCACCACTATGCAACCTTTGCTAGACAAGACCCAGGCTCATGGCCCGACCCTGTCTACCTCACGGGGTGGTTAAGCAGGATCAAATGAATGTGCAGTGGCATGACATGGGCTTTGCCCTCTCTCTGCAGTTGCTTTAAAAAAGCAAATGCAGTAATTATGAACTTGACCTCAAGATGCTGAGAGCTCAGGTTTCTGGCTTGCCTGGATTTGAAGCCTGCCTCTCAGAAGCTTTACTTCTTTCTACAAGTTACCTGACCACTCTGAGGCCACTTCCTCATCTTTAAAATGGATTATTTATAGCTACTTTTTCCCAGAAAGGGTTTAAAGCAGAGACACTAAAATTTTTGTAATATGAGAGAAAGTACATGTAAAATCACTAGCTCACTACTCCTCACAAAGACCCTGCGAAGCAGCCACTTTTATTATCCCCATCTTACAGACCACGCCACTGAGGCATTAGAGGTGCCAGCACTGAAGGGCTTCCTCAATCCTGAGTGAGCACGACCAGCACTGGCTCTTTTCTCCTCACAGCTGAAAACACTTTCACTCTCCCGTAGAGATATGGGCAAACATTGTTAAAAATAAGAATCAAGCCAAGTGTTTTAAACACCACAGCCCTAAATTTAAAGAGGAACCATTCCCCACAGTGTGCTACAGACAGCTGAGGTACCACAGATGTACATCAAGGAAACATACTGACAATGTTGTAACAAGTCTGAACCCATTAAAACTCTCAGCTAGCAAAGTCAGTTGCCCTTCATACTTATTCCAGGTTCACCTCATCACAACAGATGTACTCAATACCTGTGTGTTCACAGCTCTATGGCTAAACATGGCTGTATTTAATATGCTTGAAATATGAAGTGCCCTCACAAATGAACTTCTTTCCCCTTTGAATATAATCGCAAAACTTAAAAAATTTTCATGTTTTTGATTTTAGAGGTAGGGGAAAGATAGAAACATAGATGAGAGAACCATTGATTGGCTGCCTCCTGCACAACCCCTACTGGGGATCAAGCCCAAAACCCGGGCATGTGCCCTGACCCCGAATCAAACCATGACCTGGAGCATGGGGGCAACATTCAATCCACTGAGCCACTTATCTTCATGGTTGTGAAACTGAATCTGAGTGTTCTTGAACTGGCAGTTTGTTCACCTCCCCTGGCCTTGGAGCAGGACCCTTCCTGTATCTGTTACCTCCACACTACCTCCAGTGCCCTACCCAGGCTCAATCCAGGATGGAAGATTTGCAAGCATCTGCTGAGGATTATCATGTAACAGATTTTATTAATTGTATGCCATATGCTAGAGGCGTGGGTAGGACACTTCATTGTAAGCTCCCATCTCCATCAGGCTGTATAGTGAGACCAGTTGTGTGTGACACTGAAGGCTGCCAGGCCTTGGCCCTGTCAGAGCAGGAAGTACTTTAGCTGGGTTATCCCAGTCTGGCCCCTCCTCCTCAGTCAGTCTTTACCGGTTCAGAAACTCAGGTTATCATTTCCCAATAACTGGTTGGAATCTGGGAGACTGCCTCACTCCAAACTCACAAGACAGTAGTAAACCGGAATGGCATTTTTTCCCTTTGTAATGGGAAATGAACCTGACACCAGGGCCCATCTTCCAACACAACCATCCCACAGGGAAAGTCATTCCAGAGACCAAATGATCAGGTGGCTTGGAAAACTCAGATCCCCAAGTCAGTTGGAAACATCTTTGGGCAATCTATTAGAATAGAGCACTTGCTTAGAAGCCTTTTCAAAGTGTTATAGCTGTTACACTTTGTGAGTCATTGCTATCTGCAGTCTCCAAATTCTTAAAACACTTTACTCTTGTTCTCAAAGGAATCTGAGATACAGGTACAGGAGTCAGTCCCACATGGACGTAGTTAAGATGCCTAAGAATTCAATATGAAGAGATGTCTGAAAACTGGACCTTTGGAAACAAATACATTTAAGAGGGAGGAGGCAGAGAGATTCCACATAATGTTCAAAGTACAGGGGAAAGCGGGGGTGCAGTATCATGAGCAAAGAGAAGAATTGAGAAGAGATGGCCCACTGTCCAATGTGATAGAAATAAATAAAATATGAGAACATTTTCTAAGTGGAAAATCCCACTTGTGATCTTTAAGAATAGCTATACGTGAGAGTAAATGAGTGTGGTTACTAAGTCCTCTCTAACTAGGCAATTCTTCCGAGTTAAGTCTGCAGCACGAAACACTAAGGTTTGCCATAGTATCTCAAGCAACAGGTCTTTCTTGAACAAATACCCTGCAGCCAGCACTACAGGAGTCACCAGTGGTTAAAGCAGTGCAAAGAGCACTAGCTGGGGAGTCCAGAGCCCTGGGCTGCAGAGTGCTGACTCATACAACTGGAAGTAGCTCCCTTCCTCTCTGGTTGAACCTGTTTCTCCATCTGTAATTGAGAGAGCAGGATTACAGGATCTCAAATACCCCCAACTGGCTTTAACATTTTCCAGTCTCAGAGCTTTTGCATTTGCATTTTCCTCTGTCTGGAAATCTCTTCTCCCAGCTATTCACATGGTTCAGTCCCTTACCTCCTCCTCAGCTTTTGCCTAAATGTCTTAAGACTTTCCCTGACTACTTATTTAAAACACCTGCCCCCACCTTCCCTGGCACTGTCCATACTCCTTCCCTGCTTTTATATCCCTCCATAACACTAATCACCAATTGACATACTGTTTTACTTATCAATTTATTATCAATCCCATCCCATCCCCAAGTCAATTTCCCCACTAGACTTCAAGCTTCATGAAAGCAGTGCTTTGTCTTGGTCACTGTTCAGTGGTGTGCCTGGCACAAAGAAAGCACTCACACACCTATGAAGGAATGAAATGCCAGCTCCAACCTACAAATTACAGTGGCCACACCGGAGAAACTTTCTTCAGGAGGTTGAATTCTACAGTGTATCCAAGAACAGTGAATCCAGAGGCCAGTGCTGTTTGAAAGCCATGGTTTTAATGAGAACCTCTTCACCTGAGCTGGACCCCCTCCTTCAGAAGACTTCCTTAGTGCTGAAAGTCAGTATTTTATACACCCAAAACACCTAAACTCTGGCTGCAGCTGTCCTCCACCTTCAACTTCCGACTTCCAACTCTAGAGGAGAGAGTACTGTGTGGAAGGAGGGTAAAGACTTGGGAAAAGTGATAGTGACATCCCTCATGGTTCGCTTCCAAAAGGTCTCTTCCCAAGCTGATTAACAACCTCCAAAATAAGGTCAAATAACCCAACAGGCTTGCACTTGCATCACAAACTGTTTAAAAAGTGGGCCAGGATCTCTGATTCAGACCAGGTGCCCTCCCCACACGGGCAGGCCATGGTGGGGAGGACACTCGCAGCCGTTTCCAAGAGTAATAAATAAACCTGCGGTGTGAGCAGTGCAGGAGGGTGGCCGGGAAACCGCCCACTGCTACCGCTGTGGGGCCAGGCCTGTCTCATAGCCCTCTGTCCTCATGTCATTGAGCCCTAGCTCCTCATTTTGGTCAAATGTGCGCTTATAATGTTCCACCTTCATCTCAGGATCATCTTCAGGTGCATAGACATTCTGTAAGGCCAAGGACAGATAATCAGTGCCTGTACCATCCTGCTATCCTCCCTCCCCTGGGAGGCTTCCAACTCCCACTTTCTCAAGAACTCAGTGAGTTTTTACTCTCTAAGCACCGCCAATTTCCCATGACTAGACTTAACTAGTGGGAAGCAACAGAGCCCACATGGGCCAGGAGAGGGACTAACCAGCCCCAGGCAAAATTAGGGAACAGTTGCTTAAAAAACTTTCTCTCTGCACTTTCTTATGAAGAGTATAGCAATAGCCCTGGCCAGGTAGCTCAGTTGGTTCAAGTGTCATCCTGATACCCCAATGTTGAGGGTTTAATCCCCAGTCAGGGCACATACAAGAAACGGACAATGAATGCAAAAATAAGTGAAGCAGCAAATGGATCTCTCTCTCTCCCAAATCAATAAATTAAAAACTTTTACTAAAAAAAAAAAAAAAAAGTATGCCAATAGTCTTAATCATAGAAAGATCTTAGAACAGTTTTGCCTGATTCATAATAACTGCTCAGTAAATATTAATATTATTATCAATCACCAGAAGATCTCCCTGGTCGGTTTAATGCCTTTGGGTTTTCATAATCTTGGCCTTTGGCCAAGGCACCATTTCTCCTCACTCCAGTCAGATTTGCAGCATGAAAGCTCCACTGCTGGGCTCAGAGTGGGGACAAGAACAAGACTACAGGAAGAAGGAGCCTAGGTATATCTTTTTCCCTCCAGACACACACAATCCCCCCCCCCCCCCTTATGTTCTAAGTTCTGCTAAGAGGTTCCTTGATAAAGAGCCGTTTATTTAGAACCAATCTGTTTCTGGAGAAATGATATGTGTTCAAGAAAGGTCAGGAAACATATCTCCATGAAATACCAGGAAAGGTCTACTATACCTGCAAGTAGCTGTTTCCTGCTGGATCATTCATAATAAAGTGGGCCTTCATTTTCCCCTCGATGATCTAAAGAGGAGAGAATACAGTATGTAAAGTTTACACAGTAGGGAGAAGCTATGTCTGCCACACAAGAATCAAGCCAATTTACACTGCAGTATGCCCAAGTTTCATGAACTGGTGAAATAAGGGACCTCTAGAAGTAGGGTGGAGAGGATCTAAAATAAGAACTGTTTGAAATTATTGAAGAAACAATTTTACATCCCCAATTTCATCTCCCACTCCAAAGAGGCCAACAACTGCCCTTCCTCTATCCCGGCAGAAGGCTGAAGGATTCTGTGAAGCTACCACAACACATATGGACTGGGGCCACCAGCCCAGTTGAGTGTAGAGGGAAAGGAACCAAGACAAGAGCTTCAATGAATGTACCCTTATTAGAAACAGACATACACACACCCCAACCCTCTTTCCACACTCAGCTCTCAGAACACTTCAGACCAGGAAACGGAACACCCACTGATAGGAAACTGACCAGCCTAAGAAGAAGGACCTCATGACTCTGGCTTTGGAGCTACTGCAACAAAATGGCCAAGCTAACTCCCCCTACAATGAGCCCAATGTCAGCCAGACACACCCCCACTCAGGATTTTTAGTCCTTTGCTTTTAAATAGACAGTCAATGATTACCAGACATCTGAGCAAAGCCCCTAATACTGAAAGACAGAAAATTACATGGGAAAAAACAAAGAACAACTTAGAGGAAATGGAAACAATGCAAGGCAAATAAAGTGCCCCAAAAACCCAACAATAATATGCTCAAGAAGAAAAACACTATATCCTTATAACAGGATACTATTTTCTAAGAAAGGCAGAGGGAGAACTCTTGGAAAATAAAAATATGTTAGTGGAAATGAAAACCTCAACTGAAGGGTTGGAAAATAAGGTTGAGGTAATCTCCCAAAGTAGAGCAAACACAAAGAAACTGAGAACTGGAAAAAGGATAAGTAAATTACAGAAGACCAGAAAGTCGGTCTAATATTCCAAAACACAGGCGTTTCAGAAAGAGAACAGACAGGAAGCAACGCCCAATAGAATCATTTTTAAAAGCTTCCTATAACTGAGCCATGCAAGTTTCCAGATTCAAAGGACCTATCAAGTGCTTTGCACGGTGCCTGCAGATGACCCCACACCAAAGCACACCCTGAAATTTCACATCATAGGGACAAAGATGCATTACAGAATAGGTCATATACAAAGATCAGGAATCAAAATGCCTAAAGACATTACAAAAGCCAAACTGGAACGTGGAAAACATTAGTGCAATATCTTTGAAATCCTGATGAAAAATTATTTCCACCCTGTAATTCTATTCCCAGCCATTAATCAATCTAGTGTAAGGGTAGAATAAAGAAAACTTCAGACATGTAAGGTCCCAGAAATCTTACTTCCCATGCATTTTCTCAGGAGGCTACTGGAGAAGACGCTCCAACAATAATAAGGGAGGAAACCGAGAAAGAAGATGGGGATTTTGGAAACCAGGAGAATCCCCAATATGTTGGTTAAATGTTTAAAAGGTAGCAAGAAAGGGTAGGCAGCCTCTTCTTCACTGGAGCCCCAGGACCACAAGTACTGACCAGCCAGATTCCTCTCACCTGGTCCAACTTCTGGCTAAACTCCTGCAGTTTGCCCATCTGGCCAGGATTGGAACTGTCACCCAGCGTGAAAGGGTTCTTGGTCACCTGCAAAAAATGTCATCGAAACTGCTAGCATGCTGGCTCTGTTACAGGTTTGACCATAAACTTGGCAGGGGTGGAAGTTAAACCAACTTCTGGCTAAGCTCATGTAATTTGTCCAGTCAGGGAAGCTTGGTCTCCATTTATCCCATAACCACCTTCCTGACCTAGGCAGCCACTCCTAAGAGCATATGGATTAACCTGCAAATGACAACTGGCCCTGTGAAACAAACTATAAAAGTGTTCTTACAATATGAGCTCTAGTCCTAACTTGAAGAAGAAATACAAAGTATAATATACAAAGAAAAAATGCCTAATGACTGAGAACTAAGTGAAATGATTCATCAGAAGGATAAATATATGGGCTAAGTCAACACACATATAGGTATGTTGGGAGTTTCAGGTGCTAAAAGGACCATGACCCCTCCTTGTACAGTGAAATGAAAACCACACAATATGTCTCCGAGTTATGGCCTGGGAATTTCCACTCAGAATTTTCCATAAACTTATCTTCACAATCCAAAATATTATTTAAGTCTCTTAAATCAGCCCTAAGGCAAAGAAATCCGAAAACTAGGACATGTGAGGTCTTCTAGCCCCTCCCCACAGCTGCACTGCTGGCAGCCATGCACTACTCACCAGGTCCCGGATATCTTTCAGCAGCCCCTCCAGTGTGGTGAACTTGCCCCCGAGGACAGCCATTCCCAGCTCAAATTCCAGTTCCGGGATTTCCACACCACATGTTTCAGACTGTGAAATGAGAGTTCAACTTAGGCTTTTAATCAGGAGCGGCTAGAGAAAGCTAACCAGAGTCCTCCTGCCAAATTAATACCACCAGTGACAGTTTGGGGACAAAGTCAACTACCCGTTTTCTGACTTTCCAGTTAAAGCTGGACTCACTCCTATCCTATGAACCACAGGAATAGAACCACACTAATAAAGGGACACTGAGTCACGGTTCCAAGCTATCAGGTCTCAGGTCATCAGAGGCCAGAGACAAGAGCCCTTACAGACACTGCAGGCAGAAAGCTGCCAACTCATCAGAAAGAGCTGATGGGTCGCCTTCTGAATCTGCACTCCCTACCATGGATTAAGTCTGCTCAGGAAGCCTCCACCATGGAAGTAAAGAGGTACCACATAGTCCCAGGTCACAATTTAAAGACAATTTCCCCTAGAGACTAGTCACATGAGGAGGACAGTCAGTTTCCCAAGCAAGCTGTTACCTTGAGCAGGTCTCTGGTCATATCTGAGGGATGTGTGATATGGAGACTGATCCTGGTGCCCAAGGGCTCTACTGCTCCTCCAGACTTCACCTGCAGACAACAGAAGTCAGGAGCAGCAGAGAAGATCCCAAGCCTCACCTGGTGCCCAGCAGACCTCACAGGGTTGGCTTGGACCTCCAACCAGGCCCACTAATGGCAACCAACCACAGAGCCCTCTAAATCAACAGTAGCAGCAGTCATCCAAACAAAAAACAAAAACACCGAGAGCTAGCCAGGAACAAAGTGTCCAGCACCAGTAGCCTGCCAAAACGTATCCTAAGTTGCCAAGAAACTGAATTTATCTTTTAAGAAAATGATCATTGGGATTGTGGCCAGAGACAAGAGTCATTACAGACACTCATAAAGGGATGTTCAACTGCATCCAGCATGTGGATCCCCTTTATAATATTCTGGTTTAAGAATATAACAGCTTATGCTTGAACACACTCAAGGAAAGGGAATTTACAGCCCTCCAAGGCAGCCCATTCTATTTTGACCAACCTAGAAAACAGAGTCAAAATCTGCCTCCCTGTTCCTTAAAACCAAACTTTAAAATGTCGTAAGCATTACCCGTATACCGGCCAAAGGTTCAATCCCGGTCATGGTGCATAAGGAAGGCAACCAATCATAGTTTTTCTCTCACATCAATGTTTCTCTCTCCCTCTCCCTTTCTCTCTCTCTAAAATCAATGGAAACATGTCCTCAGGTGAAAATTAAAATAAATACATAAATTTAAAAACTGTCTTAAATGACATTTTCTTTTCTAAGCCAATTCCCAGTTTCTTCAGTGGCCCCTCACCCTACACTAACCCAAAGAAAAAGATCCAACCCCTACCTCCCTCATCCCAAAGCAGATTTAGGAAGGGTGAGAGTTAGAGGTTACCCTCAAGCTAGAGAGCCCACTCACTTCATTGGTCCGATGGCCGCAGTACTCGCAGTTGGTAGCCATGATGATAACCTCCTTAAAGTGGGGGATTTCTGGAGATGGAGTTAAGGGAATCTGCTTCCACGAGAGCAAGACCACCCTCTGCAGAAGTACAAATCCAAACCCCAAATGCAACTGCTGGTCCCAGGACTGCAGGAAGTAGCTCAAAAGCAGTAGCCTAACTCAGTCCTCCAGAAGAGGGCAAGGTCGCCACCCACAGTGATCCCTGTTCACAAATGTTGGCAGACATGGCCCAGGCCACACACAGGAGCCCAGAGATTATAGCCCAATTCTCTCTGTAAACCCAAAAGCCAAGGTGCAGTCTCATCACAGGCAGCATCCTCAACACTCAGAATAAAACGTGTTTCATGAAGGCAGTACTCTCCAGCCTGAAAATAATCTCCACACCTAAGCCAGAGGAGCAACCCAACTGCCTGACGAAAGATACGAACTAGCTTCATGTTGGTCTGAGCTGGAGCATTGCATTCAGGGCAGTTTGTGTTGAACTGCAGCACCTGGAACACAACATGGGGATGCAGGGGTGAGCCCTCCCTGGCAGGTGAGCCCTGTCAGGCTAAAGACATTCAGTTGGTATGCTGGTGGTCGCCTGTGTAGATGGACAGGAAGAGAGCCACTGAACAGCACCAGTTTCAGCCCAGAACTCTCTGCTCCTTCTTCCACAGTAGCCAATGTGACTCACTTCATTTCTGAGATCTTCCTCTTCCGGCTTCTCTTCTGGTGCCTCTGCCTAAGGTAGCAGAGATGCAAATCACATGTTGCACATATATCTTAGCCTCCAACGCCCTGCCCTGGAGTGAAGGGAAATGCTACGGCTTGCTTTTGTCAGCTGCCATTGTATGAGTTTAACAGAGAAGCTAGAAAGCAAAGCCCCAATCAAAGGAAGACCAGAGCTTAAGAAAAGATCAAAGCCACTGCCATCCTTTCTTATAAAGTTTACCCTAAGTCCTGGACACGAGCTGGATGAAAAGCACAAACAAGCTGATACAGGGTACACAGGGCAGCAGCAGCAAAATAAGTTTCCACTAACTCCTCTTCTGGCTTCTTCAGTCCACGTACCTGGAGCCCCAGCATCTCCTCCTGCTGTAGAGTCCGGTTATAATGTGTGATCACCAGGCCATCATCTTTCTGGGGAGCGTGTGGGTTTTCCACAAAGCTGTTCCCTGAGGGATCATCTATGATCTAACAAATGGGTGAAGAGTAATTACAAGTCATGTACGATCCCCCACCTACCCTCAGACCACTCAGGCACCACAGTGGAAAAATCCCAGACAGTATTAATGGTTTCTCCATTAAATCTAGGGCACCTAGACTCCCTCAATACTCACCAGGGTGAAAGGCGAGGACACGTGCTTTAGCTCTTTCAGTCTGACAATGAACTCATCAATTCTTTTAGCTATGGCTTCTTCATTATTTGCCTGCCATGAACAAGAGTAAAAGCATCAGCCTGGTGATAGACCTTATGCTCCCACTCCCCATCGTGCCTGAGTCACTTCCATCAGGAAATCATCACCTCAGCGTGAGTGGGAACAGGGAAATTCAGACTTCATAATAAGATGTAGTGTCTAGTTTGAAGTTTATGGGTGGTGCCAGAAGAGCCTTATTTTCTCACTGTTCAGCCATTTAAGTCACGTACTCATGCCAGGTTAAATATCAGAGTCCCCTCATGGGGCTCCCCGGCTAATTAGGAAGACATGACTATATATGCAATTATGTTATTTCTGTGTCCTTATAAATGTAACAGACAATGGAACACTCAGAAAGCATAGCTAAACCCAAGGGGATTAGGAAAAACTCCTCAGGGGTAATGACACACTGTCTGTCAGGGATGAGGCCTGAGTATACACTGGTGCAAGGGAAGTGGGAAGGACAGTGGGTGTTCCATATGCAACATCCTAGGAGCTATAGCATCACCCACATGCTTCCCCTAAAAGTCCTCCAACAGTAAGAGACAGTTCAGCTACATGCAAAGGTGAACACTCTTCTCAGGCACATATAAGCAATTATTCCTTGAGCTGCTGCAATCAGAAAATCCCAGCTCACCCTTCGTGTGGGCTGATCCTGCTCCAGGCCAGAGATGGCACGGCTGATCAATCCTTCAACAGTGGTCAAAGCTGGTGAATAAGAACAAAACGGGTGAGTCTTGGCTCTGCTATCAAGTGCCTGCATGACCCTGGGCAATTCACTTGAACTCTAGGCCTTGAATTCACCTGTGAAGTGAGGCCCAGGAACAAGGTACCACTCAGCTCTAATAACAGTGATGACAAAACTATAAATAAGCACTATCTCAAGCTGTCTAATCTAAGTTTTCTGCTTATGTTAAAGCAATAAAAACCCACAGCCCCTAGTCCTGGCCCCAGGGTTTTACAAGAAAGTAAGACTCCAGCTTAGCACAAACAGCCCAAATACCCTGATCTTAAACTTACTTCCCTTCTGAGTGAAGGCAGGAATTTCAAAATCTAACTCTGGAATCCTTGTGGTGGCCGAGTCAGTCTTCACTACTTCTCTGTTCATGTCCTGGGCAGAAAGAAAACCTTGCAGTCCAGAGAGGTCAGCGGGACAGCTCCCCCACCGGAAATACCGGATGTCCCCCTCCATCAGATCCCTGCCCCCAGTTTCTCCCGCTCCCCTCTTAGGGGGTCCAAGCCGCCCCTGCAGAGCAGGACAGGGGTGTGCGCCCCGCTGCCCAAACGGCCAGAGTTCTCTCCCTAACAGCTCCAGCCCGGTTCATACCCTCTCGCAACATGTACGACGCACTTTCGCAAGTCTCACCTGATCAGCTGACAGCACCAACACCATTTTATAAAGGAGAGAGTGAGGTTTGGACGGTCGGGAGTACTTATTCCCAGCCCAGCCGCCTGGACCAGAGCCCGGCTCCAATCCCCAGCCCCGCTCCAGGGCACAAGGCGCCTGCTCTGGGCTCCTCTCACCTCGGGGGCCCTGACCATCAGGGTGTAGCGCACTCCCTGGTCCTGGATCCTGCCTGCCGACTGGATCTCCGTGTTGCTCCAGCCGCAGTGCTCGCAGGAAAAGGAGCTGACGATGATTTCTCTGAAGAAGGGGATCTTGGTGAGCAGGAGGCGCGTCATGCCCTGGGGAAGCAGAAAGCTAAGGAAAGGTCCTCGTCTAATGACCCGCGGGGGCGCCTCA